CTCCGAGCGAGTCGACGAGAAGCACCGGTACTGCGAGGAGCCGCTGCACGCAACTATTCGCAGGCGGCGGCTGCCAGAGCGGAGCTCAGTGCCCTGCGGCGCTCCGTCTCCCGGCGCACGCTTGCAGCAGAGCGGCCAGGCGCCGACACGCCGTTGGTCACGAGCGCGTCAGCGCCCATTAGGAGCCCTGTCAGCCGCTCAAGCAGAGCCCGCGCTACACAGTCGCATCCCCCCTCCCCCAATCCCTTTGCCTTTCTCGCAGCATCCAGCGCGCCTTCTCCTTCCTCCTGCGCATCGGGCGCAGCTCTTCTTCCTGCTTTCGTTCTTTTCTCTTGCGCTCTTTCTCTGCCAAGCACGCAGTGGAGATTCTTTTTTTTTGTGCGTGTTTCGCCCGCTTTCGAATTCCGCGCGGAAAACGTCCGTCAGAATACTACCCCCCCTCCCCCTCTCTCGTAACGTCCTCCGCGACGATCGCTCTTTGGAGACCACCGCCATCTCCGGCCGCTCGCTGGCAACCTGTTGTTGGGTTCCGTGCACGCATGCAATGACCGCGAGCACTGCTAAAAAGACACCGCCGCGGAGGACAGCGTGCGTTTTCGTTTAAAGCGCGCACGCAGGGAGGGGGGGGGGGGGTGGCCTCGCGAGGCCCCGCCCCCTTTTCCCCGTTGCCTCACGCCCATTCCTCATTCGATCCTCGAAAGACTCCTCAAACTACGCAAAAAGAGAGAAGGAGATCAGCTGCGATATATATATTTTTTTCGTCTTCATTTAACTGCACTTTTGATTAGATGCTGCTGCCTGCAATATATGCCTACCATCGTTCTGCCGCCTGCGAAAGCCTACGTATACAGAAACAGTGTTCTACTTAAATGAACAAATAAAAGAAAAACCTTAGCAGGTGCAAACGAGATCCTTCACGCATGCCGCACGCACTCCAAGAGTATCATTAACTCTTCTTTCATTTTCTTTTTCCTCTGTACTTCTTTAATGAATCTTCCATGTCGTGGGAATAAGCACGTTCATATGGATCACCGACCACTAAATGTGCCTATTACGGTTCATGCACGGATAAAAGTAGGCATGCGTCACTTATTCTTTATATTTACACGTTTGTTCAATTGGTTCAAATTTCAACGGCATTGTCTACTATAAGAAAAGGCGCCAGACTTCTCTCTCCTATTGTCCTATTTACTCTCGGTCACGGTTTCTCAACTGTCGAAGCAATAAAATAAGCGCTGGCCACTCAAACGAGATTAAAATTCCACAATTTTTCGAATATTCGCACTCGATCCGGTCGCTCTCCGCACGCACATAAGCCGGATAAAACACGTACAAAAGATATATCACTACGATAGACAATGGGCGCACTTACGATCAAATGGCTATTGTATAGTCACGAGAAATTGTGCGAACAGGAGCGCTCGTTACCAGCACTGCTGATGAATCCCTCAATCGAGCAGAACGAGAGGACTGAGTACTGACGCTTCTCTTGTCTGTGCGCTGCTATAACAACGACATTAAAAAAAAAAAAGAACGTAACTGTTGCAAACTTAGCCACGTTGCTAACCTATTGTCCCATGAAACAGCCCAAAAACATACCTAAACAACAAAAAAAAACACGAAAGAATGTAGATTTGCGGTTTTCCGGCCCCGAATTTAAAAGCGCATATTTGCAGTGTCGCATTAATATGCGACATCCCGTTGCAAAACTGAGCCGCAAAATATGTCCCCCTCTGGCAGTCATTTCTCCAACATTCCCACACAAGCGAAGAAATCAAGCAAGATCAAACAAGACCGGTGAAGTTCTTAATTCAAGACTTCACTCCTACCACGGAATATAGCGACGTCCACAAGAGCGTCTATACAACGTCGGGGAAGTGCGTGAAACGCGCGAATACATGGCGATAAAGATCGTCGCTTTGAACAGCGCAGCCATAGGGGCAGCTGCACAAATCCAACCGTCGCACGGCGTATTATTAAAACGGGCGTTAAGCCACTTGCTTGCTTGCCGCGACGGTATTAAACCAAATAGAGAGACAACGAGAAGACACTGATAAGCAAATTGGGATAGTATATACAAGCGGTGGGGTGGTCAACGACTCCGATATAGTATATTCGTGGTGCATGCACTATACGCAGAGAGAGATACACGACGTCGAATCTGCATACTTATCACGGGCAACCTTGTTCACGGAGCGAGGACCGCAGGACGGAGATGTCGAGAGAGTACGACAGAAGTTACACGCGCGGACGGGTGAACGCGTATACGCCTAGCCGACAGGACGCGAGTTTTCGGTTGCGGCGCGGAGATGGCGCCGGCGCCGTAAGGCAAGAGCTGGTCGGCCGAAGCCCGTCTCGTAGCAGTGCGCCCCTGGTGACGACGCTCACATCCGCGGCTCCGGTTGCGCTCGTCGGCTATACGCCGTGCCCACTGATACACCCTGCACCAAACCGGATAGAGGACGAGGGAAAACAAAAGAAAACAAAAAAAAAGTATCCCCTCGTGGGTACACACGTAAGACGACCGGAAGGCGAAAGCGATCTCCTTTTTTCCTTTCGTTCGATGCACTGAACTTCCCTGGTCCACCTATACGAAAGCTTTCTGCACCTTGCGTGGTTTTGCGCTGCTTCCAAGATCGGAGGCGTATTTCAGATTACCTATAGAAGCCGTCGTAATAGTCTTTCTTGTATTTGGTCTTCCAGAGGAAGCGGCCGGGTGAAACGCCACAGTCGCTTTTTGCTACCGTGATCGATGAATTATTCGCAAAGAAACTCGATGCTGAAGTAACACCCGTTGAGCGAATCTATAGAATGGGACGAAGACAAGCAAACAAGTCACGCCGGGTTGTCCTGATGTTTATCGACTGCCGTGAAAAACTAAATGTTTAAAAAAGATTGCTACAAGCTCTAAGGTCAGAAAGTTTCCATGAGTGAAGATTTTTCCACTGCCACTATAGAACACCGCGAAAGCAGTTGCGGAATAGCGCTGCGAAAGAAAGAAGCGAGGAAAAGAAAGTTAAACTCGTATATGACAAGACACACATCGATGACATCCTGTTTTGATGGGATAGTAGCAATAACAAGAAGGTTCCTGTTCTTATCGGTAAAAATACTTCCTCAGCTTCTGACGTTCAAGGGCGAGTAGGCTCGGGCACAATCGGTGAACTATAGTAGGGGTTGCAGGAAAAGTATCCGCTGCCTAAATATAAATGCTCGTTGCATTCTCAAGAAATTAGCCGACTTAGAAAGTATTACAACAGAGCATAATCAGGACATCATAGCTGTAAACGAAACATGGCTGCATCAAGACATCAGTGACCACGAGTTAACACCAAATGACTTCAGTATTTACCAATGACAGCGACGATAAAAGGGGCGGAGTCGCTATTTGATTCAACGAATCATTGCCAGCGTCCAGACTACAGACCTAATGTGCCAGGAATTATTGAGAGTTTTGTGCTTAAGCCATTTCTTGAAGAATGCAACCTGTCTTGGGAATATGTCGTCCCCCGAGCTCGGATAGTTCCTTTGCTGAAAACCTCTACGAGTTCTTGTGTTTGAACACAATTCATTCCTGCAACCTGTTGTTTGCGCGAGATTTCAATTTACCTGCGATTAACTGGTCAGACGGCTTTCCATAAGCTCTTACTGACGCGTCACAACCATTCGTTGACCTAGATCGTCATCTAGCACAATTTAACCCAATTAGTTAAATTACCCAAAAGCACCCAACAAAATGCAGAGTCCATTTTGGACCTTCTTTTCTTGTTCCCAATGAGCTTTTAAGGAGGAATCCAAGAATAGATATTTTCGATGGCATATCTAATCACAAGATAGAGTATGTTTAACTTTAGAAATGCAGTTTTCTTCGAAAGTACAATTAAAATAAAATATAATACCATTGTTTTCACTTCGACGTTCACCGAATGGGGCGTTTTTTTTTTTAAGAATCAGTTTTTCGATACATGGCACAGTTCGTACCCCCCTCCCCACAAAAACAAAAACAAAAAAAAACAAAAAAAAAACGAAAGGTTGTGTGCAGCTACAACCTTTTACGAAGAACCTTGTACATATGGGGCGCAAACTTAAAAAAGCGAAAACTAAGCATAAAGATCATCCAACAAGTGCTAACACAGAAGATATCACCGAGCCGCGCGTTACGCTAGGAAACCGCATCAAAAAAGCAAATGAGCCCTTCGAGAACGTGACACTAAATAACTTCCTTCTCTTATTCCCTGATAACTTCTGGCGATACTTGTCAACGAAAAAAAAAAAAAAATCGGTGCCACGTCTATCCGACGGTGATGCAGAACTAACTGGACGACTAACTCGAAATATGGCTCAAATGCTTAACACATATATTTTTTTTTCGTTCTGTCTTTATTCATGGTAATGCCAGTGCTTCAAAAGTTTCGCTTGTCGAAGAAATCCCTCCTATTGATGATACATTCGTTATAGGGGAGGGGGTCCTGACATTGCTTCTTAATTTAGATACCAAGAAATATCCTCCCGTTGACGAAATAGCAAATGCGTTCTTTGTGCGATACGGTGAATGGTGCGCGAAGTATTCAGTTCTGCTATACCGTAAATCACTGGGTCGTGCGGAACTCCCAGATGACTGGAGATTCGCTAAAACAGTCCCCATACCTAAACCAGCCAACAACTCATCATCTTATTCATGCAGGCCTATATGAATTTTATGTACTTCAGTAAAGCTGCTTGAACATATTACATACAGGCACATATCTCCCTTTGTTGAGATAAATAATTTGATTGATCATCTGCAACACTGCTTCCGTAGACGGGTGTCAGCAGCCACTCAACTAATGCTAAACAATACATGACCTTGCTTTGGCGTTAGACAGACATAATCAGGTAGATATCATATTTTTATACTTCGAAAAGGCCTTTGACCAGGTATCCCGCTCCAACCTTTTACTAAAATTGAAGCCCATTCTCAAAAATGATCACTTTATGGCCTATATATATTTACTGCGTACCTCTTGTCAAGGCGGCAATGTGTAATCATTGATGGCACGGCCTCTCCTTCAGCTCCGGTGGCATCTGGTGTTCCGCAGGGCTCCGTTCTCGGTCTTTTATTCTTCCTGCTATTCATCAATGACATTGTTCAGAACATAAGCGCACAAGTTCGGCTGTTCGCAGACGACTGCGTAATTTGTCAGGAAGTATCTGGCCCTAATGATCAGGCCCTACTAAATCAAGCATTATTAAGTACAATTGCAAACTGGTGTTGTACATGGCAGATGACAGTTAACAGAAGAACAATAACAGTAGCAATAACCATAACCCACAAGAAGCAACCACTCGAATTCACATATTTCTTCAATAACCAACTTTTAGTGCGCAGCTATAAGTATTTGGGAGAAATTATAACCTCCATTTGCACTGGAATGAACATGTAGCATCTACTGCTAAAAAAAGCCTATAGGCTTTTTTAGCAGTATAGGCTTTTTTTTTATTCTGGTTGACTGTATACAGTCAACCAAGATACCTTCGGCACACGCTGGGTCATTCAACAACGGAAATAAAATTATTAGCCTATACAAGACGTTTGTTAGGCCTATACTGGGGTACGCAGCGGCAGCCTGGGATCCCGGGAAAGCCTCTAATAAGCTGGACGGTAGTGCCCTCGCGATCTCCGACTTCAGCGTAGCTCCCGCCGACTGGTTCGCCCTCCGCGGTCTCCTGAAGCCGTGCAGCTCTCACATTGTGGCACCCCGCCCTTGGACTGCTTCGACCGGATCCCCACTTTCCTATCTCCTTCTTTTTCTCTCTCGTTGGCTGGCTTCTTCTCCGTCTATTTTCCTTCTATTCTTTTTATCCCTCCTTCTTTTTCCCTATATCTTTTATTCCCCATATCCCATTCCTCTGCTGACCTGTTGAGGTGTCCTCGTAAGGAGAGACAGTTACGGGTCGGCACCTTTCTTTTCTTTTCTTCTGTTATAACCACTTATATATAAGCGACAAAAAAAAAAATCTGCTAGGCTCATTTAAAACAGTTATAACTAAAAAAAAACAACACCCCGTCGCACCTCCTACAGAAAGCACAACTAGAGAACCTTGAAACAAAGCGCTAATCACGACAGGCTAATGTTTTTTTTTTTGTTCTATTACAAAATGTTACGGGTTCGTCCATCCTAACTCATAGCACCTGCCATACAGACAAAAAAAAAAAAGTGGCCGAGCTGAAGTGCAGAACACTTTTCTGCACTCTTTTTTTTTTGTTCCTTGGACAATCGCCGAGTGGGACGCTGTACCTCTTGATGCGGTAGAACGCCACTACGTTGATGTATGCGATAAGAGATATGGCTCGGTAGGCGCTACTGCGCTTGGTTGGGCAGCCATGTGACGTCATGTACTTCTTTGCTTTGCGATGTTCGAATGGATGTTGAAACTCTTTTTGTGTGTGTGCTATGCGAGTACGGGATCAGTGTTTGTGTGAGCTTTATGCTGTGCGGGTATCTGTGATATGGGTTTGTTTGGGCTTTGTGAACACCTAATGCCACAGATTTTGTTTCATTCTGTTGTTTTCCCATATTTGCCAATGTCACTGTTTCGCAGTATATCACTTCATGTACTTGTTTTTCTTTTCTTTTCTCTTTTATTTTTTTCGGGCTTGTTTTGAGTTGACTATGCCCCACTCCTGCCTAAGGCCTTCATGGAAGGCCGGCAGTATGTAATAAAATAAGAAATCAATAAATAACAAGCTTTCTGCACGTCGCCTGGTTGTGCACTGCCTCCGTGATAGGCTCCCCTTTGACCAGGCGACAATGTCACGCGATGACGTCATAGCGTGACAACACGTTATGCAGCGTCACAGTGGCGTCACAGTGACGTCACGGTGGCGTCACATTGTGTCATCACGTGATTAAATTTTTTTTTTTTGCATCACTCGTGTTGGCGGCCGCAGTTACTTGACAAGGCATCCAAGGCTTTGGTCTAAATATATTTAGGGTGGAGTGGCTGCGGTGTATATTCGCCGATTGTTTCGCTAAAACTTTCCCCTCGAAATTAAAAAAAAATATATGCTGCAGTGATTTAGCGGCAAGTAAAAGAAGAATATGTTAGTATAATCACTAATTATCTCTGTATAACTTAAAACGAGTTGTCACAAACGAGCGCTCAAGAAAGCGCGCGCCTGCGATTTCTAACATCTGCGTCAAAACCAGGCACCGAGGCAGACGCGACAAAAGCCGGCGCTGTATTTCGTGCCGACCGGTTGTGCCCCCGCGATCTCCGACGACAGCGCAGCTCTGGCCGACTGGCTCGCCCTACGCCATCTCCTGACGCCGACAAGAGCTCTCGCAAGTGGTGCCCCGTCCTCGGACTCCTGCGACCGTGTACACCTTTCCTATCTTCTCCTTATTTCCGTATGTGGCTCTCTCTGTGCCTGCTCTATCTCTATCCGTTTTAATCATTCTCATCCTTTTAATCCCTCCTTACCCCCCATCCCTCGTGAGCCACTGTTTAGGTGTCACACTGTCATGCAGACAGTTACGGGGCTCCCTTTTATCTTCTCACTCACTTTAAGAATCACTCCCCTCCTCCTCCCCCCCCTCAGCGCAACGAAGAAACAAGCATGAAAAGACTCCGCGCGCACGCCTCCTCTCCCCCTCGAAAGAACCGCCGCCAAGCCGGCCACCCTCCTCGTATCTATCACCAAGCGAACTCTAGAAATGTCGAGAAGGAAGGAGAGAGTTTTCCCCCCTGTTGCGTCACGGGTCGCGGAAATTTCGAGAAAGGTCCCGCCCTTTCCCCAGCTGTGCGATGCGCCGACGAAAAGCCTGGAAACTTCGCGAACACCCGGGGCAAACGTATACAAGCAGCCGGCGAAGGAGTTGTTGTCCGGCAGAGTGCGAAGGCTTGTCCTGCAGTGACAAAGCAGCAGATGAAACGAGTGTTTTCCGCCAGTGGGCGAAGACGTGACCTGCAGGCAGGAGCGCGTGAGTGGCCAACGTGTTACCGGCGAAGAAGTTTTGTTATTGAAGTGCGGCCAGTCGACGACGCGAGTTTCCTGGAAGAGACACCTCGGACGCGGTGGGACGATAATCAGCGCTAGATATAGTGCGAGTGTTTCCCGGAAGAGCATTCAAGCTTAGTTCCAAGAGCTTTAAACTGAACACGTTTGCCGAACAATTTTGTCTAAGTGGCTAGGATAGTTAACGAATGGGATTGCATTGTAGCGCGTGTTATTTGTGGCCGTTGTTTTGCATGTCTTGGAGTAACTTAAGAGTGGTGTCGTACTGTATTTGATAAGTGCCGACTGTGCACCATCGTGTGTCGTTTGTTCTACCTTATCAGAGAATATATACATATATTTGTTATCAACTCTCGGCTGTGCCTCGTTTTAGGGGGCGAAGCTCCTTAGAGCCGAGCAATGTCCCCTGCTTGGCACATACCCGCTCTAGAGCGGGTATGTGCCACAGAGGATGCGAGATGGCGGACGTACGCGCGGATCGTCGCGCGTATCGTAGCCCGGCGATTGCCTCCCTATTAACGGGACAGGTGACACGCGTTGATGTCCACAGTTACAAACAGCTTCCGATATTAGTCAACAATGCTGGATTATGAGAGCCACGGACAAGCGGTTGGCTGAACACAAACTTGTATACATATATTTTTTTCTGTGTTGCCCATCGTAATGTCAACACACTAATAGACAATGCGCAACGCAAGATTTCTGGGTTTAAAAAAGTGCACATTTTCCGTAAAGAGCTGCTGTGGTGGTACGTTTCCAAACAGTTACATCTAATGTGCAACTTCGTACGGGCCACATGTCATTTGTGATGCAGAGGCGTGTATATAACACCACTGCGATCCTTCAGTGCAGACGCCGTCTCTAAACCAACTGCACAGCTCCGAATAGTTGCCACAACTCGGCATGCCATTCGGTGACAGCGCCCGTTTCGCTTCCATGGGGCTTTGTGCTACGTGTTTACCATGGCGCAGATTGCGGCGTTATCGAAGACACTGCATGAAGGAGCTACCCTTTCACTTTCGACCGACCATTCATTTAGAGGCGAAGCTCTTGGTCTAAACTTGTCACTGTCACGCGTAACCGGTAGAAGAAGGCATTTTCTACCGAACAGAATATTAGACGACGCTGTCTCGTAGAAGTACATACAACCTGCAGTTGATTGAGGGTATTCTGGAAGGCTCTATACCACTACTCTCCCATTGACTGCTGCACGCGATTTGCCTGAGTGCACGGGCACGAGTGCTTCTCTCAGTCTCTGGGTCGTCGCCGTAAGTGTCGGATCGTTGGTGGAGCATGGACAAAGCAGAGCGGCGGGCACGTTGAAGACGCTTGCGCTCGGCTTCACTGGCTCGCGTCTCGTCGGTTTTACCCGCGCACCATCTGCATTCTCGAACGTGATCGGACGCATAGACGCACGGACGGATGGACACACGAACGGATGAACGGACGGACAGACAGACAGGCAGACGGTTCGACGTACGGACGGACAGACAGAAGACGTTTCGACGTAGGGACGCTTCGCCCCACTCATCATAATTCACTCCATGGATATGCTGCGATTTTCTTTCTTTTCGTTTAGAATAATCGAGTTCTAAGCAAACTGACGCATCCTACCCGTTAAAGGACTGTAAATGCCATCTGAAAAGGGCGTTATTCTTGTGTGGTCCTTTCGCAGCTGAATTAGAAAATCGAGCTGTGAAAATCGTCGAACAGCGAAGCTGTAAGTGCTTCAGTGTATGGATTGACCGAAGAGATCACGTGCGCCATCACAACAATAATCAAGCATCATGGTTATCATTTCAAACGCCAACATCATGAGCGCCCCTAGCGGTGAGGTGGAGAACCTGTCCCTGCGCGTGACAACGGACAGACAGACATGCAGATGGCACAGACTCGACTTAATTAGAAAAGCGCCGTTGTTAAAGGGGCCCTGAAACACGTTTTTGAGTAACCATGAAATTATTTCGCTGGAAAAGCGTATTGCCTCACAAATTCAATAGCGCGAAAATTTAAAAATCTGTCCAGTACGAGCGGCGTTACAAAGATTTGTCCCACGCTGCAAATGCATTCTCTCTTCTCTCGTCCCTACGAAAGCGCTGGAAGCTAAGCAGGGAGAAATGAGAGGGGCAAACAAAAAACGTTACTCACACCTCGTGACCTTGAGCACTTTTTTTTTTGCTTCGAATACGTAACTTTCTCAGTGCAATCGCGCGCGCACGCGTGGACAAGTTACGGCCTCTCGCGGTGATTCTGTAACAACCGAGCGCGCCATGTTCAAATTAGCCAATGGCTGATAGATGGCCAATCTACGTGTGATTTTTGAGCGTCTTCCGTCATTTGTAGAGGGAATAGAAAGAAGTCTTTAGCTGACTGATAATTTATTGTGAATTCCAGGCCGCGTGCTGCGCTATAACATTTGGCTCGCGTGTTCTCGGGAGCCTCTACAACCGATCGGCAGCGTTTTCTGACCATGCTGAAAAAGTGTTGCTTTAAAACCGGCGGCGACTTGAGTTGTCTTTCAATTCCAGACAAAATACGACTACATGCATCGGTAAACGTATAAACGCTGTTCAACTCACAGGGAAGCCTCCTCGATGGTTTTCAGGAGGGCGTTCGTCGTCCGGCACGCCAGGAGCTGCTCCTGTAGGCTGCCTGCTCCGAAGAAACGCAAACACGAATCAGCACAACCACTTGCACAAATAACGACATGAAGCAAAATGGCGGTGTCACGAAAACCACTAAGCTCGATCTGGTTTTTTAAAAAAAAAAGCGAACAAATGCGCACGATGAAACCTCTGTCTACATTGGCACAGCGACGATAGATGTCAGTTACTGAATGTCACTGCGAAACTAGACGAACGTAACGTCGACGAGACGAAGGAAGAAAGAAACTGGCGAAAAGACAGAAATACGTTAGCCAGTTCTTAGACCGGCTGGATACCCTATCAGGAAAAGGGGTAAGGAAGAAAAAAGGTGATAAAAAGGAGATATAAATAAATAAATATAGTAAAGCTTGCGCTAAGACACGCTATGCCTCAAACAGCGAAGCTATAGACGATTCTGAAACCTAATCTCGCTGCTTTTATGTCGTGATGCGCTATAGGCCGTTCCTGCATTTCTTTTCGGCGCAGAGAAGTTCGAGTTAAACCACCGACAGTCACAGACACGACACGGATGTCTAAACCCCCGAGACCTAAACTCTCGCGTAGAAACCAAACGTTCGGGCCTCTCGTGGACCGAGCACGTCGTCGTTGGCGTGCTCGGTCCATCGCTTTTATCGCAGCCGCCGTTGCCTTTCCTGTTCCCTAGATTGCGGTTATAAGAGGGAAAAGAAGAGAAAAGTGGGCCCCGTAACTGTCTGCATCAGCGTGCGACACCTCAACAATAGTTCACAAGGGATGTGGGAGAGGAGGGATTAAAAGGATAGGATTAAAGGTAGAGAGAGAGAGAGAGAGAGAGAGAGAGAGAGAGAGAGAGAGAGAGAGAGAGAGATGCACAAGGTCCGCGAGCGACGACATAAGAGAGATAGGAAAGATGAAACACGGTCCCTATATAGTATTCTCTCGTCGTACGTACTGCAGGGTGTTCGGCTCGCCAGCATCGCTTGGCAGGCATACTTGTTGCTAGTCTAACTGCCACCTTCTTCAATTTTAGTGTACCAATGGTGCCTACTGCGCTTTACCCCATTTCTATATGGCATGCACAGTTGGCCAACACTAACTATTGTGAGCAGAGGCCACTTTTTTTTTTTTTCTCTCAGCAGCGCCATATTACGGAACGAAGTTACAATAAATTGCTTCGTCGACATGTGCTTTGTGGGCGCACACTTGTCCTCACCTTTCTTGAAACTTACTTCAGTCGTATGGCAAAGATACACACAAAGAACTGCCACCCACGCACGATATAAAGATTTGGCCGACTGCATGTACAACCATTTATGACGATGATGGTTCTTCGGACAAAAAACGATTTTCTGTAGAGATAAAGCTAAAGAGCATTGCTAAAGAGAGAGAGAGAGAAAAAAGGGGGTGGGGGAAAGGAAAGGGGAATACGCTACAGCTTAGATCTTTGTCGCCGAGACCAGGTCGAAAGAAACGCGACCAGAAAGCATACACTGTGACGGGGCGGATTATATTTACTTCCCGATGGGTAGAAATTGTTCTAAAAGAGACGGTGGGCAGTGAATCAATAGTTTCAAGCATTGCAGCGACGTTACAGCAAGTATCAGATGACTGGCGCTGAACGTTCAGCGTGCGTCACTCCTGTAGAACTCTACATCAAAGTTATAAATTGCGCCAAGCTGGACAGTTCGTAAGATATGCGCGACTTCGAAGGAGTAGCAGGGGGAAAAAAATACGGAGGTCAAAGACAGAGACGTAGCCAGCGCAAGAGCTAAACAGAAAATCATGTTAGCATGGTCTGAAGTTTAGCACCTGTCCTGTCTACCTCTTTCTTTTGCCTTAGTTTTTTTTTTTTCAATGCGCTACTCATTCGAAGTCACGCATCAAAGTCCCGATTAAAAGTGCGCCTGAAGTACTCGTATTTACGCGGCTTTTTGCCTTTATCTGCGATATATAGGGAGCGGCGCTCGGGTGTGCGGAAATCGATAAAAAAAAAGAAAGAAAATCGTACCTTTACCGATGTTATACCGTGTATACAATGTAAATGCGAGGACATGGCGTACAGATGGAGAGGAAACGCATGCAAGGACGTAGGTGCACGCGCGCACTTTTCTACAAAGAAAGAAGGGCACGCCGATAAAAAAAAAAGAGAAAGAAAGAAATACAAAAGCAACGAAATCAAGCAGACACGACTGTATACGCCTCGCGCGGTTTTGTTCAGCCAACTTGTTCAGTCAACGAGGCTTGTCGGGTTTCCGACTTGAAGCAATAGTCACGTTACTTTCTTACCGTTCCACGGCAATGCATGGTCCATTTGATTGATTGATACGTGGGGTTTTAACGTCCCAAAACCACCATATGATTATGAGAGACGCCGTAGTGGAGGGCTCCGGAAATTTCGACCACCTGGTGTTCTTTAACGTGATGGTCCATTTGGTGACTATTTCTTTATTTGAGAGGGGAATAGAAGAGGGGGAGGGGGATTGAGAGAGAGAGAAGTTGGGGGAATAGGCTACAGTCGAGACAGCCCAGAGTTTTACCAGGCCACTTTTTGGCTTTATAGCGTTTTTCGAAATCGTATACTGCGGTTTTGGGACGTACAGAGCCAGATAGTATTATTTCTCGTTTTGTATTACAAATCCGAAGCTCGTATTAAACCTGCGTTCCTTGAGTTGTTGTCCGACTTTATAGTGTACTAATAATGCCGTAAACTGAAATGTATTAGAGCGGACTAAAAACCTCCCTTTCCGTCGGTCGAATCCCGCCAACGTCATTATTACTGTATACACTCCAGTTAAATACAACAATAACTGGACCCTATGCTTTCACTGGCCTAACTAGCCTAGTTGTCTGTAGGATTCGTTTGGTTGTGTCTAACCAAGAAACGAGCCCCTAAAAAAATACCTTTTTTTTCGTTCATTAAACTGCTGCTCACGTGTGTTTTGGGTCGTGGCGAATCCACACCACATAGTGCAGCCTGCCTCCGGATGAGGCTTTCACCACTGCTGATGTTTTCATATATTTTTAATGGTCTGCACAATACTAAGAGTTAGTATAGCTGCGTGAAGACAATCGATAGGTGGCCTAATATTCGTCCATGCAACGGCGCCCATCGTCTCAGGCATAGAAGTAGACGATGAACGCAGGTGAAGATTGTGCATGCTGTCACAGCGGTGTGTATTACTACTTCGTAGTTAAAAACTGCGAACGAAATTTACAGATACCTCATGCATTCGTCTAATACGACTTGTTGGCGAACACCAATCGGTGTAGCTATCCGGTGATAAACATCGAATCATCTTTTTCTTCGGTGGTGATATGATTATGATGATCATCATCATTTTCGAATATCATCATCATCCTTATCATCATCTCGATTATTTTTGTTACCTTTCGCGTTTACAACACCGGCGACTACACCAAAGGTCACATTTTCTCCTTATGATGAGGCATTAAGGGCTTCCGTGGACCGCTAATCTGCTTTGGGTACTCTTTGGGTGGTCTAGTGGCTAAGGTATTCGGCCGCTGACCCGCAGGTCGCGGGATCGAATCCAGGCTGCGGCGGCTGCATTTACGATGAATTGATTGATATGTGGGGTTTAACGTCCCAAAACCACTCTATGATTATGAGAGACGCCGTAGTGGAGGGCTCCGGAAATTTAGACCACCTGGAGTTCTTTAACGTGCACCCAAATCTGAGCACACGGGCCTACAACATTTCCGCCTCCATCGGAAATGCAGCCGCCACAGCCGGGATTCGAACCCGCACCCTGCGGGTCAGCAGCCGAGTACCTTAGCCACTAGACCCATTTCCGATGAAGGCGGAAATTCTGTAGGCCCGTGTGCTCAGATTTGGGTGCACGTTAAAGAACCCCAGGTGGTCGAAATTTCCGGAGCCTTCCACTACGGCATCTCTCATAATCACATGGTGGTTTTGGGACATTAAACCCCACATATCAATCAAGCTGAAAGCGCACGAGGCGAGGCGTCGGCCGTTCACGCCCTCTCAGGTAACAAAATTACTTCGCTTAGGCCAACTAGCGAAAAGCGTTATTACCGCAAAGGGCCGCGTAGTTCTCAGCAGTCGATAAATGAAGCCGAATTAAAGAAACAAACGGGACGTCGACGGCGGGAAACAGCACCTTGCACGTCAATATCGACCCTGGTGGAAGCGGCGTCAATGGCGGCAGATCTATATATAGTCAAAAGCCGGGTGGCGAAGAGGTAGTAACGGGGCATGAAAGGTTGTAACGGCGGCAGTTACTACTTCTTTCGTTTCAGTTACTAACTGTTTACTAACGTAGGCAGTAAAGAAGTCACAAAAAGTTAGTAATGGTTGTAGCTAGTAAGTGTTTACTAACGTAGGTAGTAAACATGTAGCAAACGGGTAGTAACTGTCGAAGAAAGGTATCCACTGCAATTACTACCTACTTGCTTGCAGTTGCTACCTTTTTACTAACTTTTTTTTTAAGAGTGTACGACGACGTGGGCCGCAAGCAAAAGTGCCGCACGGTATACATCCAGCCAGGGGTCATCAGAAACGCCTAATCGGTAACATTTTGTTCCGAGTGCGGCTGCCAGCGGGTTTGATGAAAACGACCATTCCCCCACGGGCAGAGGCAAAATTACACACACAGAACGTCGTACAGAAAACAATAATCGTATAGCGTCAACGTGCGAACATCACAGGTATCTAAAACGTGATTATCCTGGCCGCCACACTGTGGTGTTACGGAGCTCGTCTGCCCACCCGAAGGTCGAGGGTTCGATTCCGGCCGTGGCGACCACCTTTCCGATGGAGCGGAAACGGTCCGTACAATGTGCGATGTCATAGCGCTAAGGAACACCAGATGAGCTAAATTTGCAGAGCCCTACTCCAGTAGGGCGCGCCTCCTGATCATATTGCAACGGGTATGAGCCGACGAAGGAGGAGAGGAGGAAGACGTGAACTGGTACCGCCCACCGACGCCATCATTGCCCTATCACCAAGCTCACCCTGTTAATAAACAGGCTTCAACCCTAACCGTGACA